CATTTTATCCTCACAACAACAACAACCCTGTGGGATAGGTCAGGCTGAGAGTCTGTGACTTGTCCAAAATGAACTTCATGGCTGAGTAGGGACTAGAATTCAGATTTCCTGATACCCGGTTCTGTACCATCCAGTGCATATTTACATAGAAAAACCAAACTGTAGTCCTACAATTTCCATCATTTCCCAGCCAGCCTGGTATTGTAGGATGCTTTCTGTCTAACGCGTCTAGGATTGCACACTTACTAGTTGAAGCAATGCCATTTCACTTGCACTGCTGCAGTGATGAAACCTCATCTCATGTTGCTGTTTTAAAAGTTTGCACTTGTTCCTAGTTCCTGACTAAATTCTCACGAGTACTCTCTGCTGATGCTGGGTTCTGCAATGAAAACTGTGGAACAGAAAGAAGTATATTTTGGTATTCATTTTCTGAATAATTTTTTGCTGGAAAACATGGAAAACTAAAGTATGCACATTTTGTAAAATTATTTAGAGTTGGATTCATCTGTAATGCAATGCAACACAATGCAAGATATCCCATATCATGAATATGGAATCCTTTGTGCCTTCTGTACAATGTTGTTCATCGTATTTGCTGATATTATTTCTTATTGTGTCTTAGATATCATTTTAAAAATTGTTTGGGATGTGCAGTGCTATCCCGCCAAGCCATTTCAATATTGTAGGTATTTCATCATTTACCCAGCCATACAGTTAGAAATACTTAGCCACACTCACCAAACTCATCCAGTAGGGAGAAGCTGAGCCTACTTAAGCTGGTGTGTCCTGGTTCTTCCACTGGAGTGCCTTGCATGACAACCCATTTTGGCTGCCATATGTCTCTTAAGATCTTGCCCATGAGTACATAAAAAAATGAACATGGCTGTTCCTCATGTATGGGTTTTGTTGCTTCTACAGCCCCTTAGAAGCAGCCAAGTAAAATAGAGAGAGAATTTCTCCTCTCTTTTGAAAAAATAATTCCAAGTTTAATACACATTTATGAAGCAACAATTTTATAATATTTGCATGGGGAACATTGGTGTGTGGGGAAGGAATACTTGTGTGTTCTTTGTTCATTGCCTCCTCTCCAATTTTCCATTTTAATTTTCAGTAGATACCCAAAGTGGCTACTGAGCATGCTCGGTGTTTTCATCTTTGGGAGGGAGAGCTGACCACTTAAGGTTTTTTAAATTATTATTAGACTTGCGCAAAAGTTTGGCACTCCTCATTTTAGCTACTCACCACCACTATTCTCTGTTAGATGATGTGATTGCTAACATTCCTTGCAGTGTCTAGTTACATAACATTTGAGAAACAAGGTTGTTGAAAAACTTATTGTTAGAAGGGACAGATTATGATGTTTGTTTGAAACTTACCAGAGCCCACTTTGCTGGAAAATCTACTCAAAAGGCAAGGCTTTAGCTTATGATTTAACAAGTGCAGACTTAATTGGAAGCAGATTCTGACAAATATTTTGGGGTATAGTTAATTATACTTCCAAAGGGAAAATGCAATTCTGTTATCGTGTTCCAGAGGGGAAAATGACTAGACACAAAACTGGCTATTTGTGAAGGGAATTCCAGTCTTCAAGTTAATTCTTAATCATTCTAGCTAATGTGACTTTATCTAAAGTCTTTTGGAGTTAATCAGGTTCTTGATGGTTAAGGATTTTTAGCCTGTAGAAAAAAATCCTGGTATTTTATTCCTGCTCTTTTTCATAATCTAACAATGATCTACATGGTCATCAAAACCTTGATTTTTATTCTTTGTTCTGTGTCATTGCTTGCTTGCACAATACAGATTTTTAACATGCAAATAATTGTTTTTTATCCAGTTTTATCTCCACGCCATGCCTCAACATTTCTGGTTAGAAAACGTCGAGCAAATTCCTTTATGGAAGAAAGTAAGAAGGGAAATTTGGAACGTGAATGCATTGAAGAATATTGTAATAAAGAAGAAGCCAGGGAAATATTTGAAAATTACCCTGAAACGGTAAGCATTTATAGGTTTATACTTTGCCTCAAGTTTCTAAGGATTGAAGTAAACTGGATAAAGCAAAGCTTGGTTCACTCACATTCATTGTTTGCAATATATGTGTATAGGCATCAATGAGCTCATATTTTATATGAATATTATAAATTCAACAAACCTACCTAAATACCCATGTCATGGGCTGAAATAATATATACAATATATTATATTGCTAGGTGCATTCTAAGGGACATTAGTTGACACACAATATGGCACGTGGGTTTTTTCTTTTTTACTGCTTTAGCAAATGTTTATATTCAAATCTGAACTTGTGCTTGTGTCATGTATTTTTTTTTCACTTATATTCCATCTTTCTCTGAGAAACTTAGACTTACTAACATAGCTTTCAGGTGGTATTCAGGACCAAGCTTGCTTAGTTGCAGCATAGAATTTTGTTCAAGCATCAGATACCATTTGGCTTTCAAAGGATATTGGCCAAACTCATGGCAGAGAAGGTTATCCATGGCTATTAGTTGTATGTTGCCTCCAGAATCGGGCTGTGTGCCTATGTACACCAGCCGCTGGAGAAGTTGGGCAGGAAGGTGTTATTGCCCTCACATCCTGTTAGCCATCTTCTTCTTACGTTTTTAAGGTGATAGTAGTAAAGAACACTGAGTCCTTCCTTCAAACCTCATCTCAGTTTCTTATCAGCTATCAGGTCACTATCGTTCGGGTTCACCTTCTTGTACTACATGTGCAATAGAGAAAACAGTGCTACTATTTAGTATCGTTATTCACGGATGAATGGGATAATGTATATGACTATATGCATGTATCAATCCCTAGGGGACTGGTTTAGTGAAGGCACTTCAATTCCAATCAGAAGGTACTCAGAATGAAGAAAAAGACTTGTATCAACTAGGATATACAGTAACTTGTGTAAGCAATAATACTATGATGAAATATGAATGCAGAATATAAACGAGCAAAAGGAAGCTTACACTCTGTGACTGTATTGATTCCCTGAATATAGAGGATGTTCCAAGGGCCTTCAAATTTCCTGGGCAATAATGCATCAGTTCTTCTCTTCAAGCCAAAAACAAAAGACAAAACTGCTTAACATGGATTTTCCACAATTCCTCTCTCCCCATGTTGCAGAAGCTGTCAGTTTATGTATAGGCTTTAGTCCCATTTCCTGATACATGAGGGAGGAGATGGTTGCAGTTTTCATGGCCAAAAACAGCTCTTATCTAAGCAATATGCTTGAGAAAAAGAGCTTTGAGGAAGTTATCTCTCATATTCTTTCTAGAAAGCGGAATGCCAGAAGGTCTTGGCATGGCTCCAAAAGACTATCTTGGCTTTGAATATTGAGAAAATTTATTTCACTACCTGTTGAACCTTAATAACCCTCCTCTCATTGTACTGGCAGAGCCCAGCCAGTGCAACAGGGAATTTAAAATCACTGTATAGATTCTAAGATTGCAATTCTAAACACACTTACTTGGAAGAAGTTCCTCTAGACTCATTTGGGCATACCTCTAAATAAACTACATGTATTGGGATTGTGATGGTGCTATAAAATGGGGAAAATTAAAAGGAAAGCTACCTTTCATTGATAAATAGATTCAGTATATGTGACTATGTTCTAGTGAAATTTGTGGTGATGCTTGAGTTGGACATAGTATTATACTAGGATAGTCATAATTATTTAACCCAGGGTAGTTGTTCTACTCAGGGTTTGTTTGAAAGTTGATCAAACAAAAATTGTTTATTTTCTTAGTCTCTAGATTCTTTGTTTTCCCTTTTTTTTGCCGATTCCTTCCCTGTATCACAATTGGATCAGCTGGGTGTTTTTTTTACTACTCTTGGCTGCTGTTTCTGTAACCTGGTGAAAAAACCTAGGAACAAGACACAGTTCTAGGTTCACATATAGCAGCAATCCATGGCTTAAATAACCCAGAGTTCACAACCTTGCAACAAATAATATTTTCCCCCTGGTTATTTGTGGTTAACAAACCACAGTTTTGTTTAGTGTGGCTGAGTTTGCACATAATAGCAATGACACATGATTTCCATTAAACTTGGTTTGTTGAATCATGGGTTGTTACTCTGTGTGAATCCAGAAGTATGGGTTAACTATGGGTTGTTAACCATGAAACTTAAGAAGATACTCTATGCTTTGTTGCATTATAAAATTTGAGTCATTTAAGCTGTGGGTAGTTGTTCACAATGACTGGCTATAGCTTTCCATGTTTTCAGGTAGGATTCTTTCCAAGCCTACTTGGAAACCCAAGGTTTGAACCTGGGACCTTCCCTGAATGCAAGGGATGTAGTCTCTCATTGAACTATGGCCCCTCGGCAGTCAGGGCAGGTGTCTAAATCAGTCACTGAGTGCTCATTGCCGTCTGGAGATGCCTGGACTGGCAGGTGCAGATATTACTGGTGATTCATGGGTAATGAGTATTTACATGCTTCCGTGGCAAATTTGCATGCAGCTGGTGTTTGGTAGCGCTGCTGGAGAATAGTACAATCTAATCTGAATTAACTGTTGAGTACCTGGCAATGATCTCCTGAGTGTCCATAAAAAGCATTTATGGCATGTTGCACCATAAAATAAGAGGCCTCCACATGTGGCTGATCAAAGATACTCTGCCTTTTTCAGAAATAGGAAATGGAACACTGAGTTCAGTTACAAGCTTTTGGTAGCATAATCGAAGGGAATTGATTTGGTTTGTTAGAGGAATATTTTCAAAATTGAGCAGTTTGTACCTGCTGTATTTAATAAATTATCTAAGAATTACATAAAACATAGTTTAATTAATATCAAATAAGAAGCTATCAAATAAGAAGCAAACACTAAATAAAATAATTGTCTTTTTGCACTTGCATTTTTAATGATTCTTCTAAGTAATACAAACAATTAAATTATGTCTTGTGTTGGATTAACATTTCAATTTGACTTTTCTTTTTTTAAACACAGGAATATTTCTTCCCCAACTACTTAGGTAAGTTTTATTTTTTTAAACAAATGCAAGCTTGTTTTTTCACCACTTAGATTATATCCTTTTTGTGCTTTAACCTCTGAAGGATTTTAGGAGAAGATTGGAAGGTGCTGAACTCAGGACAGCTGAAATCAAATGGTACTCATTTAAGAAGTCTTCTTAATATATGTCTGTCATGCATGTGAATACATTTCAGTGTGAGCAGTGGTTCCCATTGTGGCCGTTTCAGCATAAACAAAGCTGGACATCCTTCATCGAAAGCAGAATGTGTAGAATAGGAATGTTCTGTGGTGATGCCATCCCTTTTTCAGTATGCCCTGCCTTAAACTATGCAATAGGCTACTGACCTGGTGTATTGTTAAAAAGCAATTTTGGTGTATTGTTATTCCTTTGATTCAGAATACAGTGGACACACTAATTTCATGAAGGCTAAAGACTATATCAAGTAAAAACAAATTAACAAAGCCAATAAGAAAACAGGATCTGCTAGCTGAGGTAATTCACAGGAGTCAGTCTAAATAGGTTCCATAGGACTTACATGTGTATAGGATTGCTGCACCCCCTACCCTAACTCACTTTGGATGAACTTTCCCATTCCTTTCATGTAGAGTATGAAACACTCTGAGCAAACCTACTTCTGGTTTACACCTATCCTAGGATTTATGTATGTAGACCTAATTCATTAGCCCTTTAATTTTGCACAGTCCCAAACTTCATAGACAATTTACATATAACAATATTCATTTTTCTACAGCATGGACTAATTGTATTAGTAATTGTGTTTTACAGAGGTGTGATATCTATGGTGAATAGAAACAGGAAGATGAGGAATGCCAAAATAAAATCATCTGCCTTCATCACTAAACTTGCAGTATAACATGACATTAACTATAAAAATATATAAGCCATCAACAGCTATTATAGGTTAATAAATCTTAAGGGAGCTTTGTTTGAAGATTTGGATGGCCTTTGGGGTTTTTTATTACTATGATCTGTTCTATCTTTTTTCCCCCCTGGCCCTTCAGAATCTGATGCATTTGACATTCATGAACCATAAAATCACAGGATTTAATTCTCCTTGGCTCCACAAGATCAGACTGTAGGTGGGGTTCACATTTTTCAGTCTCTAAAGGAAACCTAGCAGGAAAGGAAGAAGACTACCTGTAACTCTTATTATTGATATATTTGTTTGTTACATGGGGAGAGCCTTTGAAATGCATCTCCTGTTATCTGCAATCTGAAGCAATATGGAACAGGAAGGACTATGTCATGCAACTTAATTGTATGCCTAACTCTGCTCTTAGTTGTTTAGAATATGCCATTGTGGTTGTAGTGAGTATTTTGTCAATGGGCAGCTTTTGTATCTGTTTCACAGATTGCCTGGCTTTACACCGGACAGGAGTTTTCAGAGTGCCATCAGTGACTTCTGATTCTCCAGCTGACTTGCGGTTCTGTGTAACAGGTGAGCATTTGTAACTGCACACTCTACATCTAGAATTAGATAGAAATACAATGCATCTAACAGCAGTATTCATTTATTCAACTTATATTCTACATTAAATTAGCCCCAGAGACTCTCTAAGTGGATTGCAAAAATAAAGAACAATTGGACAGTTATCCACTACAGGATAGGTCAGATTTCCAGTCCCCTGAGGCTGTAGACACTCCTGCAACCTTGGAGGAAAATCTGAGGTTGGGCTGTTCCGTCTCCCATGTCCACTCCTAACAGTCATGGAAAGTACCTTAGCAGATATTCCTCTGCATTTTAACAGGCTTGGGTCCACAGGTACATGATTTGGACAGGCTTAAACTTAAACAAATTTCCAGGTACAAATGCCATGTGATACTATTCATGTGTGTAAACAAACTTTCTTATTTTGGAGAAAAAAGGCACAGCTCCTGGTCCAGAATGTGATTCTAGTCCAAATCCAGTTGTCTTCTGAAAATTGTTCCCTCCTGGTTGTGCTTGCCTCCAAAAGTCATTCGTCATAATAAAATGTATGTTTGGAGACACAATAGCTTGGGAAAGGATTACAAACAACAGCAAACCAGCATACTTTTTCCCCAGAGGAGCAATGGACAGATTAATTATGTTGAGCAGCATGAATAATATCAGATATGTTTCAGCTCTAAATCAGCACAGCAACCCTTTAACAAGAAGGCCAGTTCAATTTCACTTTGGCTTGGTTTAACTAAAACAAGAGGGCAGCTACTGCCATTGTTCCCAAATCAATGAATTTTTCATATAACTTTTAGTACATGCATGCTTTCTCTCTCTCAGTTGCTCATTTGTTCTCATTTTTAAACCTTAGGGCAAAAAGAAAAATTATCTCACCTTACTTCAGTTCCTTTTTCTGTATGTATGTTGTTATAAATGACAACAAACAAACAAACAAACATCCATCCTGGATCATGATTGTATCAGTACTATAAGCAACAGCATGACCAATAAAGTAGTATTGAATTTTCAGCCAATCATTCAAAGTGCCAGGTAATTTCAAGATATGAGAGCTTAGGAACCTCGATTTTCATTAGTACCTTCTTTGCAGCTGCACACTTTGCAGTTACAAGATAGTGTGTAATGAAATAAAATGATACATTAGACTGAATTGTAGTTCATCAGCTGGAGAGTTAAATCAGTTGGCACCATTGTCATTTTTGTCATCTTACTTCATGCATCTGATAAAGTAAACTGTAACCCATAAAATATACAATAATATAATACTTTTTAAGGTTTTTGGTGCACAAACTATACTGCTACCCATATGAGAGTTAACAAAATACAGAGAAGGAGAAAGTAAAAAGAGAAAGAGGGGAAGGAAAAAAACAGAAAATAAGCATGTACAGATATACATATGAAAGTGGCGAGTTGAGTGTGAAAGTGGCTGCTGAGTCTAGAAAGTTGGAGGCTAGCATGTTAATCCATTTTAAATTCTTGCTGGTATCAGTAAATCATATTCCGATCTAGCCATGACTAATTTAAATTCAGTTGATTTAAACTGGGCTGTTGCAAGGGTTTGATGCCACCTTGAAGTAACCAGAAGTCTACTTGTGCAGTGGGCCTTCCCTGATTGACCTGCCCTCTGCAGCCTTCTGCATGTGCCTCAGATCTGTTTCAGAGGTTCTTCCATTCTTCGAGAGTAGGTTTGGGGATGCAAAGCGCCAAGAGGAAAGAGAAATCTGTTTCCCTGGTGGTTCCTTTGCACAGGCAGAAACAAGCCTATGTTTGACTAAATAAGGATTCAACTCATTTGTTTTTACTCTTAAAAGTTACAACTGTCTACTTTCTACTTCACTCAGCCTGTTTGATCAGATCCAAACCAATTAGAGGGCCAGTATATTTGTAAAGCACTATGCAGATACTGCAAATAAATAAAGACATTCACAATATATGAAAGAACAAGGAAATAATCTATGCAAAGCATCTTCCTTCATTAACTGGAAGTACCTCTTCTCATTGCTCTCCTAACAAAATTGTCTAGGTGTTTAGAAAGAAGTCCCAAGTGGAACATACATTCTTACCCTTAAGGATCTATCCCTGTTTTTTGTCCTTGAGAACAAATGAGGGCAAAACGGATTCCTTGATCATTATTCTGCCTGTAGTCAGAGATGGAGCACAGTTCCCAGGCTGCTGTGTTAGCGTGCCTGCAGACACAAATTAAAGTGTGCTCTTATTCATCTCTCCTCTCTTTTTCTTACTCTCATTAAGGCTCTTGGGGGGGTGACAGGGATGCGTGAGCATATTATCTTGCTGAGAAGTCTCTAGTGAGCGATGCTGCTGTTCTTGACTTTAATTTTATTCCTCATATATCCTTATGTCATAAAGTGGTTGTTGCAGATTACTCACTGGAGAAGCATTGATGATACTACAAGCAACAACCAAAAAGTGTTGTAACTGCAAATTCATAGCCTGCCAGCCCTGGCATCCAAATTCTGCAGCAGCTGAGAATACTCTGAGAAGAGTTGGGCCTGAAGCCCAGCAAAGTGCCTGGAGGATCAGAGCTTCCTGCCCTGCAGAAATTGTGTTTATGTCTCAGCATTGCTCCAAGATAATATTTTTTCAGGATAGCTTTTAAATGATAGGTTGGTGTTTCTTCAAGCAGATCTCAAGGATCAATGGAAAGTGAATCTTGTGTACAGTGATACAATGTTTTATCAGTCGTCAAATATCTCCATTCCTCATGCAGAACCTGTTACTTCCCTGGAAAACATTGAGCCTGATAAATTCCTTGAACTAAGTGTGAGAATCTTAATGTGAACTCCCTTTGAAACCTTACCAGTTCAATGCGACAAGGGCTGAACTAATGGAGAAGGGACAGGTGTTCATGGCATCCACTGAGTGCACATTTTAAATCTTTTTGCATTGAAGCAAACACCTGAACAGGGCTGTATGTATGGAGGATAGCTGCATTGCCAGGCAGGAAAAATGTCCTTTTCTGTCCTGTGGTACCTTAGTACTCAGTCCTGGTCTCACATGCTAATCCATAGTGATCACAAGAAGAAGCTTTAGCTATGTGGGAGGACAGTACAAGGAAAAGGAACCATGAGATAGCCCAGGATATTTCAGTACCTAAGATAGCAAAACTAACTAGGTCTGTTGAGGACAAAAAATAAATTAATTAATTGACAACTTGCTGCCTTTAAATAAAGTTTTGACATTTTCCACAAGGATATGTTTTCTTGACTGTAGTAAGCATTGCATGGTGGATGCATTTCTTAATATGGTATACTGTTTAAAAATGGTAAAAAGATGCAGTGATTGTTACTCTGTCAGAAATGACCCTGAGAATCGGTCTTAGCCCCACCATTAATATGATCTGTTTATAGTGTACACACTGCTGTCAGATATAGTTCTAAAATGCATTATCCTTAAGGTCTTTGTGTTAACATTCAATCAGTTCATCTTATACATACTGATTACAAGGAAAATGGTGCATTAAATCTATTTTATCAGAGAGTAAAATCTATTTTATCTATTCACCATTTTTGAGATGGTGGAATGAGGTGGAAATAAAACTTGTGCTAAATCTGAATCCAATGGTCCCATCAAAAGACCCTGCAAAGATTAGAATTGGCGTGGTAGGGCTACATTGTTTTTTGTCAGTACTAGTACTCATATAGTACTTAGGGAGAGAATGGAAAAGTAAGTTTAGCAGAAGTCTTATAATAAGATACCTTTTTTCTTCCTCTGCAGAAATACCAAACCAGTGTAGTCCACTACCATGCAATGAAGATGGTTATAAAGAATGCAGAGATGGACAAGCCAAGTTCACATGTATCTGTAAGCCTGGTTGGCAAGGAGAGAAATGTGAAGAAGGTATATGTAGTCTGTTCTATAATAAGTCATACTGATCTGCAGCCATTTTCACTGTACTCATGACAAAAAAGATAGTATTGTACGAGGGTATATGATGTTGCCATTCTGTCATTAAAAAAAAATTGCTGGTGCAAATAATTTCGACAAATCCTGTGTACCCCCTGTTCTGTTCCAGAGTTTTGGGAGACTCTCTGGAGCAGATTTGGTGAGGTTCATGGGAAATTGCAGAGGAGAGAAAGAAGTAGACATTATGTGGGCAGGTATTTGCTTGTGTGGCATTGGATCCACCCCAGAAATAGCTCAATTTTATAGAAGTCTGCATTTCAAATGCAGACTGTAGGTGTTCAGCAAAGGACCAATGCATAGTTAAGGGTTTTTCATATATAGGAACACACATACGCACATATATGTATGCACACACATGTATATATCTTTGTAGATATAAATGAATGTGACGATCCAACAAATATAAATGGAGGATGTAGTCAGACATGTATTAATTTTCCGGGAAGTTATCGCTGTACCTGTGAAGATGGTTATTACATACAGCCAAACAAATTGGACTGCAAAGGTAAGAGAAAAGCCCCAAATAAAAACGTCAATGCCACAGAAAACAAAAAGGCAACCTATATCATCCAATAGGATTGAAAGGTCACACTATGGCAATTGGTCACAGTGCTAAAATCTATAGAGACAAGTCCCAGTATTCCTATCTCATGGTTTAAATGGAATTGCCCATACTGGTGCTACAGCCCCAGGAGTAGCTGTCAACATGTGGAGAAGAGGTAGTGGTTTAGCGCATGCACATCCTGTCCCAATCAGTCCTCTAGCCTTGTTAACAAATGTAGTCTATGCTTGAACAGATGGGTTTGATTCGGAAGCAAAGGGTGGGGGAGGGATGATGCTACACTAATGCCTGCTGAGACCCATGTGCTTGCAAAGCACCATCTGTCTAGTTGCCAGTGAATCATCCACCCCATGCAGTGCTCTGGATGGTGATGACAGTACTTAATTAAAAGGAAATGGGAATACGTACTTCCACTACCAAAAAATAACTGCTTAAACTGATCACATGAGAGAACCTTACCACCTGGGCAATCATATAGCAGATAAATGCATTTTGAAAACATGGAAGGTGAGAGAATTATCCCTTAAAATGTATCCCTTAAAGTTTATATGACTATAAACTGTTTAAAATTAGTAAGCTATCTATATCCTGTTCACTTCCCTGTGGATTTATAGCATATCCTTCCATGTCCACATTTTTTCATATTTCATTCAGAGCTAGCTAGTGCTTCCAGAACTTTCCTGTTACTGCCTGAGATCATTTCTATCCCAGGAACAAATGCTAGGAGTCAGCTGTAACATAAATGAAAAGTAATCCATTCCTTTTTGTGAGAAATTAATACACATTCCATATGTACAGACAGGAACGAATGCATGTTAAACCAGAACATTTGTGGGACAGCACAATGCAGGAATACCCCTGGAAAGTATGAGTGTGAATGTGCAGAAGGCTACACCTATAACTCAACTGCAATGAGATGTGAAGGTAGAATTCTTCAATTTATATATTAGATAGATAAATTCTTAAAAAGCCAATAAGCTTACCTTTCTTGGTGTACTTAGAATTACTTGCAATAGATTTTATATTACGTTATTTAGGGATTTGTTTACCTTTCAGATTATTTCTGTTTTGAATTGCAGATGTAATATCTGTCATATTTTAGTGCACAAATGCTATTTGACATAATGACTGAATCTTGTGATGGAGTATCAATTGAAGCTGTAAGGAAACAGGATTCACTGTAAAAATGCATCAAATCTTGAATCAATAATTTAACAGAATAAGTATCTGAAATATAATTTATTTCTATCCCACCCTTTGTTTGAAAGGCCGAAGCTGCATTTTAGCTTCATAAATCTGTCATGTAGCTAAGGCACAGAAAAATTTCCATATATATGTATGTATTTGTTTGTTTGTTTGTTAAAAGCTTTTCTATCCTGTCTCCTACAGAACGTCTCAGGACGGCTTACAATAAATCTTGGGATGGCTTACACACACACACACACACACATACACACACTTAACACCATGCAAAGGCTGCAATATTCTTCCCAGACTTTAAAAAGGTTTTTTAACCCCCATTGCATGTCAACATGATACCTAGTATTATTGGCATTTGGGGTCATTTTGTTACCCCAAATGAAAGTACCTGAGGCGAGGCAAGGCAAGGAAAATGTTGCATATGAAAGTTTTGTCTGACAGACTCTGCAACTAGAACATGGGCATCCAGAGACATGGCAACAGGAGCAAGAATAAGAGGAGCAGAGGCACCTGACTAGGGCAACAGAACTTCAGGAAAGACAGATTCCAAAACCGGGGTTAAATGGAAAATTCAAATCATAGTCATGGTAGAGGTCAAGGTAAGAACCCAGAAGAATGCACGATGGCAGAACAAGGATGTGGCCAGGAACAAGCCAGGGATCAAGAACCAGAAGGACAAACAGAGCAGCTATCTTGAACAAGATAGCGGGGAAGGAGACATGGCAAGGCAAGATACATGGCAAGACAAGAGAGACAACAGGAACCAGATGCAGCAAGGGTCAGGCAAAATGCAGGAACTGAACCATAGCGTACAGGAAGCCCTGTGTTACTGAGGCAACATGGTGAAGCATCTGATACATGGCCAAGGCAGGCACAACAGCAAGGCAACATGGAAGGGCAGGAAAAACAGCAGGAATCAGGAGCAGGAAAGGCCAAGCAGGATGCAGGCACAGCAACAAAAGGGGACCTGTGCTGCTGAGGTAACACAGTGGGGCAGGAGCAGGAAAATGAGTGCACCAGCAGGGCTTGGGACCAATCCTGCAAATACAGTGGTGGCAGTTGTTCTGGTTCTGGCCACCAGAGCAGCCCAGATCCTGACAAGTTCTGACCTCAGAGGAATTCTACTGCCTTTTCGAGTTCCCCTGCTGGCTGGCCATGGAGATTTCTGCAGTGGCTCTCTTTCCCAAGCTGAAACTCCAGCCTTGTAGTGATAGTGTAAGCTGGTGTGTTGAGGTATGCTGGTGAATTGATTCAACATCTTCTCAGGCTTAATCACATCTCTGTCCACAGAAAACATTTAGACTGGCTTAAGAGCTGCCTAAATACTTCCTCTCATTTCCACCAAATGGAAAATAATACAGAAAGCCCCAATTCCATCTTCCCTCACACCCTGATTATACAAGTCAACATGGCTTATCACAGGCTCTGCTCAGAGAGCATTAGGTTCCTCTATAAGAGTAACAACTAGACCTAGTTTGCCCAACATGCCAGTTATAAACCACCATAGGTTAGTGTGTCATGTGAACCTGGCATCATTTTGTCAGGGTGGTTTAAATTTGGGTTATAAGGTAACCCATCCTGGAATTGATTCTGCTTTGTTTGACTCATGATGGGTTGTCGTGTTGTCCATACCCAGATAATAGTACCCACACTACTAGTGAAGGAGACAAAAGTAGCAGGAGATCATTGTGTTCTTGCCAAGTGATACCAGGGAAATGCCGCTGCTTTCTGCCCCAGACTGTCCAAGTGGCTTTTGGGGCAGCTAACAAAGGCTTTGCCACTTCTTTTTGCCATGCCCATGAGCCATTTTCAACCTGCTGGGGATTCCCCGCTTTAAATAACTTTTCAGAGATTGCAAAAGGTAGTTAAGGCACTTTTTACAATCCCAAGTGGGCAACCATGAGCATTCCCACTCAGGTGCCCCAATGGCCCCTTAAAAGGGGTGCATTTGGTTGCCCATGCTTCTTGAGCCTGTAATATGCTCAAACGTGTGTGCTCTATCCAGGTGTATAGTTTCCCAAAAAGAAACCTTTGAAGCCTACTAAGTCTCACTGAAACAATGGAACGTCCGTTGTGACACCCGACAAAGCACTTACTCCCACAAATGGGACACTTTCTCCTTTTGCATTTGCCTGAGGTGGCAGCATCTTAGTAGCAGGTGCAAAAGTGAGTGAGGGGATCCTTGAAATACATGAGAGCCCCCACAAAAAAGAAAACCTTGTGGAGCCACCCTTAGGGAATGCACCCCTTATCTAGATAAGCAAAGCCTCATGGTTAAATGTGGAATATCTTCCAGTCTACTTGTCAACCATTATTCTTTAGTTTTTTTTCCTGAAAACATGCATCGAAATAAGCTACATTATCACCCCCAAAGCAATATTCCACTGTACCTATTGAACAGCTTTATTTACTTTTACACATTTTACACTACACATTTTACACATTGAAAAATTCAAGTTTTCTGAATCAGAAGCAACCAGCCTAGAGTGCTATACAATCAAACTGTACAGATTTAATGCTATAAGTATTTGTCAGTACATGTTAAGTTTTTATCTCGCCAGTGTGACATTCTAGGAACAGACCGCAACATTTTCTGAGCTATACTCATCTTCTCAGTCAGTAAGTGTCTGTTTAGTTGCAGAAAAGGCAAGTTACTGATGCTGTCTTTCACACAGCCTTTCCCTCGTGCCTCTAAATTATTTATTGTGCTTAGCCAACAAAGCAGAGAGCGTAGCCAGCTTCATTCACTCAGGACAAAATGTGTTTTGCCCTGGTCAGTCCACATTTTCTTTCTGAATGATTGCCTCCTAAGCTCCCTTGGATGTTGGAATTTGGCACGCACGCACACACATTTCTCAGTGTACTTGTATTGAACTGAATTTTTCTCTGATGTGGACATATTTAGTTCATGGTATCAACCATATAATAGGGGCTAGTATAACTTGGAAATACAGTATTTCAAACCAAGAAACTTTGGTTTCTGCACAAATATGATATATTTATTTTATCTATGCAGCTCTATTCCATGAAATTTTTGCTCATGCAAAAACTATCCACAAGGTCACTTTGTTGACAGACCTCATTTATGTTTTCTAGTGGCTTGGAGGTTGATGTGAGTGAAGTGTTCTAGGTTTGGAAAAAAACTCTTTTGGTTAGTGTGATTCAGAAATACAATCCCTGAGTAAATCTGTATCCAGCAGTAAGATTTTATGCTAATATATTTATATGCAGATGCACATTTAGAAAATATTATGATTTGAATAGAAATACAGTATATCACACCATAATATGGAGACTGTAGTATGGAAATTGTCAGTTGATTGACTGTCCAGGTGCTCTTATTTATTTAGGAGAGGTCTATGCCACCCCATTTGCTGAAGCCTCGGGGTGGCTCACAACCATAAATAAACTTCAAAATAGAATAATATAAATTAACAATATAAATTAACAAAATAAATTAAGTCACCCTGGCCAAAGAATAAAATGAATAAATAATATTAACAATTAAAATAACATTTGAATAAAAAGGTCTTCGCCTGGCGCTGAAAAACAAATAACAACGGTGCCAGGCGGACCTCTCTGGGGAGCACATTCCATAGATTGGGCACCACTGCAGAGAAAGTCCTCCTCCGAGTACTCACCCTCCTAATTTCCTTCACGGAGGGTTCCCGGAGAAGGGCCTCCCCCGCAGATCTCAAGGGGCGGCTGGGCATATATGGACGTAAGTGCTCCTTCAGGTAACCAGGACCCAAGCCGTTTAGGGCTTTATAGGTCATCACCAACACCTTGAATTGGGCCCGGACTTCAATGGGAAGCCAGTGAAGCTGACGGAGGACTGGAGTCATGTGAACATAACGCCCAGTCCCCGTCAGCAGCCTGGCAGCTCTGTTTTGAACCAATTGAAGTATCTGGACCGTCTTCAAGGGTAGCCCCACGTAGAGCGCGTTACAGAAGTCAAGTCAGGAAGTCACCAACGCGTGTGTCACTGTCGCCAGGCAGTCGTACTCCAGGTAGGCGTGCAGCTGATTAATCAGCCGAAGCTGAAAGAAAGTGCTCCTCACCACCGCTGTCACCTGAGCTTCCAGTGAAAGCTCTGGGTCGAGGAGCACTCCCAAGCTGCGAACCTTGTCCCTAAGAGGGAGTGCAACCCCATTCAGGACTAGGTTCAATTCACCCTTACCGAAGCCCAATCCGCCAACCAACAGGACCTCCGTCTTGTCTGAATTGAGCTCCAGTTTATTGGCCCTCATCCAGCCCATTACCTTGGCCAGGCACCGGTTCAGCACAGCCACTGCCTCACCTGGATTGGTGGAAAATGAGAGGTAGAGCTGGGTATCATCAGTGTCTGGTGATTCCGCAGCCCACACCTTCTGATGACCTCTCCCAGCGGTTTCATGTAGACGTTAAACAGCAAAGGGGACAAAATGGACCCCTGCGGTACTCCATGGCATAGCTGCCATGGTGCAGAGTCATAGTCCCCCAGCACCACCTTCTGGAATCGACCATTGAGATAGGAGCGGAACCACTGCAAAGCAGTGCCTCCGACCCCTAATCCTGCTAGCCTATCCAGAAGGATACCATGGTGGATGGTATCGAAAGCCGCTGAGAGGTCCAGGAGAACCAACAGGGACGCACTCCCCCTGTCGTCCCTGCACAGGTCATTGTACAGGGCGACCAAGGCAGATTCAGTACCGTACCCGGGTCTGAAGCCGGACTGAAATGGGTCCAGATAATCAGTTTCATCCAAGAGTGCTTGGAGTTGTCCCACCACCACCCACTCCAACACCTTGCCCAGAAACAGGATGTTGGCCACTGGTCTATAATTAGTGGCCATCTCTGGATCCAGTGACGCTTTCTTCAGGACCGCTCGGACTACCTCCTCCTTTAAAGGGGCAGTTACCTGACCCTCCCTCAGAGAAGCGTTAACCACTTCCAAGATGGTTTTCCCATCACTCTTGATGGGAAACTTTCTTCCAATGGTTCTTATCTTTAAAGCAGATTTGGACAGGACTGACCTTTAAATAGAGGTCATTTTCGAAATAGGGGGCAGTTTCTGGCAGGCTTTCAAATAGAGTCCTGGCCTTTGACTTGATCAATCAATGCCTGTTCAAGTCTTCAGTAGAGGTATTCCTGCCTCTATATTTAAAAAGAAGGCTTGAAGTTTGTGGAGATGCTGCTAGGAACCTGTCTTGCATGCATCTTAAATTGTACTGTGCTCCTAGTCTTTCAACACTGCAACCTCATTCCACTTAATTACTCATTTGATGCCCAAGAGTGTAATGATATAACAGTTGGGTTGAGGTGCAAGTGTCAAGCTGCATTTTCCCGTTTCCCTGCAGATGTGGATGAATGTGCTGAAAATACGTGTTCTCAGATATGCATCAATTCTCCAGGAAGCTACGCTTGCTATTGTGATGGCGCAAAAGGCTTCAAACTTTCCAGGGACACGAAAACTTGTGAGGTAAAGTATAGTAATACTGTACTAATTTTGTCATCTTCGTCATCATCAGCAGCAGCAGCAGCAGCCTCAAAAGGGCTCAAACCTGACTTTCTACTGGCCAAATATTTTGTATACTCTGGTACCTAATATTAACATGAGGCTTTGCATTATTGTAATAATGTAATAATTCTCCCACTACAACCTCACTATGATGTATATTACGTGATCAAAGCATTTTAACATACACATTTTGAACTGGAGAAACCAAGAGCCTATACTGGATTTCCATGAAAGCATTTCTCTGTGAATGGCCTCCTTTATACTTGTCTGGCAAGACTGGGCATGTTGAAGTGTATTCAGACAGCTACCACTTAAAACAAGCTTTGACATAGTTCACTGCAATGGGGCTTAAATAGTGCACAGATCAAAGGTTGCTTTTGTGCTTAAGCATACTTATGAGGACCCGGTGAGTTGTAGTTAACTGTGATTTAATGATTAGGCAACATGGGGTGTAATTCCATTCCCTAAAGATAATGGAAGCCACAAGCAGGCCATTTATCCTCCAAGTAAATATTGCCCTAGAGGATTTTGGCTTCAGAGGTTTATTAACTTAATACTACACGCAGTCTCAACTAGTACATGGAAATGAGTTCCAAATCTAAAGCATGAAAGAATTCATTGAAAGAAATGAAGCTTTTCAAAAAGAAAATAGGACCAGCACAGACTAGAGTACAGATACCTGTTATCACAGTTCATATTTTCTGAATTTTTATTTCTTCCTGACATTACTTCTTACAAACCTTTTAAAAAATAGCTACACATGTGTATGTGCAGCAGTCAATTTAGGATACTTGTTTGTGCATCTAATGAATTAGACTCTGTTCCACAAAAACTTATGCCACAATGGATTTGTTCATTCTTCTTTAATTTTCCAAAGATACTTGTACAGATCAAAAACGGAAGGTTCACATTACAGAAATAAATTCCTGTCAAGTTTTATATGTCCACAATGACTATTCCAATGATCTGTGAAACAAGCATTTTCAGCAACATTAATTGCTAATTGTGAACCGTTACATACTACATCAGTCAGCTTGTCTATTTTTTTCTAATCCAGGACATATCAGTTCTCTGTTAAATATGTATGTGTGTGATTTCTTTCAAGATTCTGGCCTACAAAATATTTAAAAAGATTAATACACTGATTAATTATTTCCAAATATTATCTTTCTATGAAATTAAATACAATTAATAATAGACTTAAACCATTAATCAGAAATTGCTGTTGCTGATATGATGTTTTTGTGTCCAGTAGTTTTAAGTTGTCTGACAATCCCATTGCATCTTCAAATAATGTTACTAATACATCTGGAATACATGCTAGAAAGTCTAGCAAGTGTCAAATATCAGTGAAACAATTCGTATTACTGATAGTCCCAACAAAAGCATCCTAGCTTAATGATACTAACTTTGACCTTACACCCTTTCACATCACTATTGATTAATATTTTGCAGGGTATTGATTTTCTAAGTGAAAATTTGATCCTTTCTTATTTTACAATTTTTACAAGATTTATAACTAAGCTAGAGTTTAGCCACCTGATATCTAAATGAAATTTTGTTTGTAAATACATGACTATTCACAAATACTTCACAAAATTAGGCACATTTTTATAGATGTGATTGTTCTTTCAAAATGTTTTTTACCATCCCTTACTATTGATGCTACTGGGGATATTCCAAGATTTTACTTAACTTAGTATTTATCCCAGGTTTTACGGAATCATTGTAGTATCAGATATTCCTTTGTAGGATCAGTCTTTTTCATTAGAGTCCGTAATAATCAATACATAAAGGAAATACTGTACATGAAAATTTAGGAAAGAATCTTACCTTAAATGTAGAAATCCTAGTTGGTCAGGATATCTACAGCCATTGTTTATATTCAATTTAATTTTTCAGCAAGGGTTTAATAATTGATTTCTGAATTTTGCATATCTTTTACTAATTTGGCCCCAAATCTGATTAGCTTGTTAGCTTTTGCCAATTCATAATGGCTTAGTGGAATTGATATTGCATAGGAATGTTAATTGTAATTGAATATGATTTTGCTGATTTAACTTTGTCACAGAGTTATTTGCATGTAGCCACCATGTGAAGTAGGCTCTTTACCATGCAGACATCTTCTGTAGATTCTGGCATCATTATGTGATTATTCCTTGGCTAGTGAGGGGCAGAGAAGCTTCACAGCCTCGAGAAAATCTACCTAAAGACAGAGAAGAGGAGAGCCAGCCAAGTTTTCAGCCCCTGCTAGGAAAAATGAGCCAATTTGCTTCTTGTCTCCTTAATATACTAGATGTAGCACAAAACTCTAGCATTATTGCAGGTTTCTACGTGAGCTGGGGACCCAGCTTTGTTTCTAAGTAAGGAGTCAAGCTCCAGCATTCTAGCCAGCTTGAACTTTTGCAAGATAAACACTTGCAAAATTTGGATGTTTAGGTGTGCATCTCCCCAGTGTGACACCAACACCATCCTATTCTTCAGGAATAAGCTGACAAAGAGAAAAGTGCCCTCACTTGATCATTATAATAAACTGCTTCTTCTCTTACTTCTAGGCTGTACCAACCTGCCTTTCTCTGTATCTTGAAACAAATTATGAATTGCTTTACCTGGCAGAGCAATTTATAGGGATCCCTGTTTTGTATTTAAGGTTTAGATTGCCAGAAGTTACAAGGTAAGTAGATTTCAATATGCATACATATGCAGTACCTGTACTATGTGTGGTTATGTCAATTAGTGCTTGCACATGGTGTTGTGTAGCCAATTATTAATTTTATTTCATTCCGTGACAAAATTCTTAATCTGGAGATCCAGCCTCTGCACTGTTTCATATTTCCCCTCACCACTTTACTCAATCCAGATTTTCTGCAGCTTTTGACTTTCGGACGTATGATAATGAGGGTGTTATTCTGTATGCTGAATCCACTGACAACACAGCATGGTTTTTGCTTGCCCTGCGTGATGGAAAGATTGAAATTCAGTTCAAGAATGAATTTGGAACCAAAGTAACGAGTGGTGGCAAAGCAATTAATGATGGCTTTTGGCACATGGTAAGCCTCCCCCACCCCCCAAAAAATCCCTCAGTAAGTAAGGAATTCAAAATTGAATTCTTTATAAAGGAGGCTACTTTTAAAGTGATTTGATGCCTATGTAATAGTCACATTTGTCACTTTTCTCAAAATGTTTTGATGACTTCCTATTAAAGTGTAGTATCTATGCTCTGGATAGAAACCTCTAAAGGAACTTTGGATCTAGGATTCAAGAAAGTTCTTATACATTCCGACAAAAGTGGGTAGAATTTGCTAGAAGGTAGACACGTGTTATGCAAATTTTGTTTCAGGTATGCCATTTCAGTGCAGGAAAAATCTATTATTCATTCCAATAGAAAGTGATTGGGTGTAATGAATAACTTGATTTGTCAGGTTGACCAAGCAACCATTTGCTAATGGTATATATGCTAATAGTCCTGATCCCATAACTATTCCTGGTCACAGAGCTCTAGATGTTGGTTGCAATGCTTTTACCAAAGTATTCCCCTTTTGTTTGGGGGAAAGCAAATCATCACTAGAAAAGCTGAATCATTTCTGCACAAAGATGGCCCTTGCTGGGACGGGGTGGCTTACCTGAACCTTTACAAACATTTCTGTTAAACATAGATCTCAGTGGAAGAACTGGATCACAGCATCAGTGTGAAAATAGAAAAAGAAGCAGTAATGAACATTAACAGTCCAAGAAACCTTTTTAAGCCATCCAATGGGTTCCTGGAAACAAAGGTGTATATTGCAGGACTACCTCGCAAAGTGGACAACATTCTCATTAAACCGGTAATATTTCCAGTGTTGAATGTGATATGTCAAATTACTGTTTCCCCTCAATAGTTAATGCACGTGTTCTTCTTTCCTCCCAGCCTCTTACAAAAATCACTTCAGGCCACTGTTTCTGTGATGCAATGAGGTTTTTCATGATATACTTTGGGGGACAGGGAGGCAGTAAGAAATTATTCCTTCTGATATGTTTTCAAATGTATAGCAGCCTGGTTCACATGCTACAGTGGGTTGTCAGCAGGGATGCACTATGCAGAGGGCTTTTGCCCACCAGAGTTCTTTCCCATGCTTGACCCTTGCTGGTAGGCCAGCCAAGATCAAGTCCATGCATACTCTGGACCATTAGTGGGCCCTTCTTTGTGCAAGGTACACAAAGCCTGCTAGTCACGTGTGCAGTAGCAGAACTCTGCTTGTGTAGCAAGTGCCCTAGTAGCAGGCAACACGTACACACGCCAGCCTCGCAGAATTGCTTGGACTTGCTTTCTGATGGATGCCCACATGAATGCCCAGCGCATGGCAGGCAGAAAGAAAGTGGCCAGAGTCTAGGGAGCTGAGCCAAGGAAATCTGATGGATTCCCACCCCAGAGCAGGTTGATTCTTCATGCATTGCTAGTGGACACTCTGGATTGTTGGAGAAAGGGTTGTCATTGTCTCTAAATCACAAAGTAATTTGTTTTGTCTGTTGTTGGTTATTATTTATGAAGAATCCACCCTGAGAAACCTGACTTTTTGTTGGCTTGTTTTCAAGATGTGATGTCCAGACATGGCAGAGCATCTTCTTTATAGGTTGTTGGGAATGGCTAGAGGAGTTCCCAGCAAGAAAAGCAAAACCTCCCACCAGTCTTCACAATCTTTCTAGTTCTTCTGCCATCTTCTCTCCTCTTTTGTCAGTGTCTCCAGCCCCATGCTCTTAAAAATGAAGAAGAAAGATACTGGGGAGTATACCAAATTGTTTTGCTCCCCTTTTTCTGGACATGTGCAAGGGTACACATTAAAAAATCTGCTACTGTGAATGGGTATATTTTTGCCAACACCCCTCACTGTGCTGCTTTGAAATTTGTGTGTTTTTACTGCTAACCATTCACAACTCTGTAGCTCATGAGTATATCAGACAGCTTACAATGGATGCCATTGAGGAAAGCAACAAGCATGCAGTGGGAGAGAGGGAGCTGAAAGTGGCCAGCAGCTGCAAGAACAGGGCTTCTGGGTAGCTGTAATTACTTCAGGATTAGGTGATGCAGTCACCTAGCAAAGGAAGTGCCAAAGTGAAGGATGAAATTGACAAGAATGTAAGAGGGAAGTAACATCAGTAAGCTGTGCTAAATTGCATAAAGACACTTGTGCAATAGTAGGCAGATATTTGTGATTTTTTTAAGCTTTCAAACACATCACTTTGTTCATAAGTGCTTGGAAAAATTCTTTCTTTCTTGCAATCTCCTGTCAGCAGGGTGGGCAGAGATTTTCTTGGAAAGTGCCAAAGTGAGGTTGCAAGGACACTGACCAGGGCATTGACAAGTGGCATCCTGAGCTAAAGAGCAGATAGGCAGTATTGTACACTTGCACAAGACTCTGAAAAAAGTAGCTTGCAACTGCATTCACAAGTTCATCAGAGCTCAGAAAATACCTTTTGATGATTTGATGCAGAAGTAGGGAATGAGGAGATGAAGGGTTCTGCTCAAAGGCACATTGTGTGTCATGCAAATTTTGCTCCAAAAGATTGGCTATTATATAGAAAGTAACAATTTTTGTTCTCTTAGAAAGAAGATCTGCTATGGAAAGTGATGCGTGCAGAGACACGTCCTTTGTACTTCTTAACACATTGGAGAACTTGCAGGCATGGTGAACAGGCAGAGAAGATCAGCAAGAATCTGACATAACAGTAAAAATCATCAAAAAGTTTGATTTTTACTGTTTATGAGATTATATTATTGCATTCTTGAAAATATCATTCTTGAAAGCATGGAACATGCAAGGATTATCTCCTGAATTATGTGCCTCTAAACATCTTCACTCTATAAGCAATTCTTTTTAGAGCTTCTTTAAACTGAAACTAAAACAAAAAGGTCATCCACTCGAGGAAAGGGCTGAAAAAACTGAACATTTGACTTTTGGTCCATGATGGGCTGACTATGCATGGATCAGCTTTTGGTATGCCAACACAAAAGAAACATTGGTGGAAGCTGCTTGTTGCATGTTAGCTTTACATTTGAAGAATCCATAGAGTGCCACACCAGCCTTTCATGTGCAGTATTGTCATGATCGCCATCTGTGGCCACAATTGAATCTATGGTGGTGTGCAAATATTGCATGTGTAGAAATTGGTGCACACTGTAAATGTGACCCCTGCCCGTTAGAGTCATTTAGCCCTGCCTCTTTCAGATAAGGCAGAGTCTAATATTCTGTAGTACTTTAGGAGAGTTATATGTTAATTGGCTTAGCAGAAAATTGGAATCATAAGCAGGTGAACTGCAGCTTGCTGTTTGGTTAACAAAACAATGTCTTTCAAACAAAAGCAGAAAGCAGATCTCAGCATACCGGCGCAGGGACATGCAGTTCTATTGCTAGATAATTTGCTGTGCACACACTGTATGATCTAACACTTCTGCACCCCTTACCTCAGGGATTGTATTGTAAAACATTCATTTGCATTCATCTTTGCTTCCCATAGGCAGCTGGTTGTGTCTGTGGGAACAGAATGCTAGGCTAGAGAAAACTTTGATCTGATCCTACATGGCTCTTTTTCTTTTCTTATATATAAGGATGTCTGCACATTTTCAAGGAAAACAACAGTGCTTGAATCGGTGCTTCAGCCATCCCTTTGTTATCTGCAAACACACAAACTGTATGACATTTAACAATCTTTGTAAGAGTTTTAAATCACAAGATACGATGTCTGAGTTAGGGAGAGCTGTGAGCCTGCATTGAGAGCCTGTGTCATTTAGCAGCTAAAAGTGAGTTGAAGGAAGTTCTAGGTTCAAGTGTTGGCTCAGTCATGAACTCACTACTTGGGTTTAAACCAGCCAGCAGCTTCAGCACCCCATCTATAAAATAGGGAAAATAACCACTCCCCTGCAGTCGAAATCCCTCTTCTGATGCTGGCATTTGCTTGAAGAGTAGCAGCATTCCTTCTAGTATGAAGAGAAATTTCTTCAGAGAAGGGATTTTTCTTAGGATTTCAGCAGGAGGAGAAGTAATTAATTTTCTTCTGTATGCATGCTTCATTATTCAACACACTCACAGCAGTTGATGCAATATGCATTTTTGAAAACCTGCAAAGAGGCATTTAACATTATGTCTGGGTTTCCTCCTAATGTGCTTTCCTTTTTTGAGAGAAGAAAATGGTGTTTGGCTTGCACTTCTCTCTCTTTCTCCCTGCCTTCTTCCCCCACTACTTCTGTAATCTGCATCCTATGTCTCACATTGGAACCTATTGCAACACTTGGTGTCTAGAAGTAAGGTGTTACGTGTAGTAACTTGTTCAGCTCTGGCAATGTTCCTGGAACATTGTAGGATACCAGTGTCTACTGCAACTTCTTCTACAGATTAACCCCCGACTGGATGGGTGTATTCGTGCCTGGAACTTGTTGAATCAGGGAAATTCTGGTGTAAATGATATAATTCAACAGAAAAGAAGCAAACACTGCTTAATACGTGTTGGAAAGGGATCTTACTATCCTGGTACTGGAGTGGCAAGATTTGGTATAAACTACAGTAAGTAAAGCCCCCCCCCCCCCGCTTTTCTCTGACACTATTTGGATGTTGCACTGATTATTAAATATAAGCAGTGATTTTTTTGGTAAAACAAAAGGTGTCGGAACTCACGTCGCCGGCAGAAAGCGTGCGACCACACACACCAATCCCAAGCCGAGAGCAGCAGCGCCCTCACTACCTCACTTTCAGATAGCGGACACAAAAGCAGCCCGCAGGCACTATATTAATGATGTTTGCTGCTGATCTGCTACGATTCAAAATCACTTCGTAAAATCCATTGGAAAAAACGGTACTGGAATGCCGTTCCGGTGCGTTCTATGACAAAAAAAGCCCTGAATATAAGGTTTGGGAAGCAGTGTAGGAAGAGACATTGTTATTCACTTCCAATGTCAGTAATAATCCCTGTAATCAATCGAAATTGTTTACATCCAAATGGTGGAAAGCAAGCTTGATCCAGTACCAAAGTTCTCTAATAAGGACAAGTGTCCCGAGGCAAGCTTATTCCCAGGCTCAGCCCCTTTTCCTTGTATGACATTGTAAAACTCTAGAGCACACCTGGCTGTTGCTCAGCTGTGCCACTAAATATGGTCTTCCCATAGTAAGTGATTCCTTTCTAGGCTGTCACATCCATGACACTTGCCATGTGGATCAGCACAATCACTTTCTTATATAAATGACACTGTGACCACTAGGCACATTCCCAGTTGAGTCTAAATATGTTCATTTCCTTACTATTTTAGGAGCATCATGCCACTTTTTTCTTAATGCCAAGGTAGAATATGAAAAAGAGTCAAATGCATTAATATATTGTGGTAAACCCAACATTCATTTGTTTATTAAAAAATCAGTTGCCATTTTATCCCTGCAGTTTCGCACAAAAATATATAACATCACCTATGAAATAGAACCAAGCAAAATATAAATTGGCCTTGAACATTTATTATTATTATTATTATTATTATTATTATTATTAAGACATTTGTATGCCACCCCATTCGCCGAAGCCTCGGGGAGGCTTACAACACATAAATAAAAATTAATATATATATATTAGAATAATAATAATAATTTAAATATATATACACACACACACACACAATATAATACAATATACAATATAAAATAAGCCGTCCTGGCCAGATAAAATTCAATAGTATTAACATTTAAAATGCTGCTTAAATAAAAAGGTCTTCGCCTGGCGCAAAAAAACAAATAATGATGGCGCCAGGCGGACCTCTCTGGGGAGCGCATTCCATAACTTGGGTGCCACCACTGAGAAAGCCCTCCTCCGAGTAACCACCCTCCTAATTTCTTTCACGGAGGGCTCCTGGAGAAGGACCTCTCCCGCCGATCTCAGGGGGCGGCTGGGCATATATGGATGCAAGCGCTCCTTCAGGTAAGCGCTTGCATTTATGGAGATAAGAACTTAAAATCTCCTTGTATGCACTTGATCTGATGTGGCATAGAATGTGGCCACAGCAGGACAAGTGTGAAGCAGCAATCCCTCAGATTTACAGGGCCTACATTATTGCCATGATCTGACTCTGTCCAGATTATGTGTTGCAAACCTTTTTTGTGTTCTAAGGATCAACCGCTCCTACTTTACCGTGAGCATTGCAATCATGCAATTTGGACAATAATCAAATAGAAGTATTTCTGAGTGCTTAACAGATGCTTTCTCTGAACTTATATCTGACAAAGTTCCTGGGCTTGTTGGGTGGCTTGTAACTCCCATGAAAGGACTTTTATGGAACTGCCAGTATTGAGTTAAAGTTTCAAGTTTTAAAAAAGAGGTTCTTTGGAGGTTTGCTAACTTACTCTTTTCTCCTGCTTTTTAATTTGTTTAAAATAAAACAGATAACAGCTTTACCAATGCAGAAGACTGGTTAATAAATGTGACCATGACCATCCGTCCATCTACAGGCACTGGTGTAATGTTTGCATTGGTTTCTCGTGAAACAGTGCCGCTTGCTTTGTCTATAGCAGACTCCAACTCATCAGACTTTCAGGTAGGCTTCTGCTCCGACTGCATGTGCATCTGCATAGTGAACAGATCTAGTCAGATACGGAGCAGCACCCTTGTATGAATGAGCAACAATTTGTTGTGAAAAGTATGACTATCACTTGATGTCCCTCACTTTTGCCTAAATGAGGAAATTTTAAAAGGTCCCCCACTCCTACAGAGGGGGAAAGGAGCCAAAAGGAAGTGACCTGACCATGACAAGGGAGCTAATGTTAATTCCCTGATTTGCCGTTCACCATCCTCCTGCCCAGTCAAGAAAACCACATGAAGGGTGTGTCCTTTTACATGTGTTGAGCCAATAACATGTTGCAACAGCCACAGGGTTGTCCTAGCAGCTATAAAGTCCTACACCGCCCCAGATAAAGCAGCCTCAGCATAGAAGTTAAGATCTCCCCAAACCAAATACAAAAGCAAAACAATGCAATAAAAGGAACATTAACCAACAAGAATATTGCACACCCTACTATATGGTGTGGACCATGGTTGGGTCAGACTTCAGGAAAAGCCTGTGTGAAGCAGTGGGTCTTGAGAAAACATCTAAAAGGTAGAACTATGGAAACCCATCTAGTGATGGCAAGGTTTTCCAGAGGGTGGGTGCTGCAATGCTAAACTCTCTATTGCAGGTGCTTCTGTGGCAGTGAAATGAAATGAACTCCCCCCCCTTTTTTTTTTTTTTGCACCTGGATTGAAGGAAATCATTGTTTCTATTGAGAATGTCACTGTTGCCCGCTTGGAGTCAGAGGATTTGTGTACCTCAAAAACAGTGCAACTGGGACTCAGAGTCACTAGACACCTGCTTGAACTTACATCTGAATCACATTCTGAGATTACCTACTTTGGCGAGCAGCTCTCTGTCCTTGATCGAGCAATGAACGGAACTGTTGATACCTACATAGGAGGGCTTCCTGGTAAATATTGTTTTCTTTCATGAATTCAGTTCAAATAATGGCAAAGTTCATTCATCCATATTTTTTCTTTCCTGCAGCCATGTTGGTCTTTTCTTTTAAAGTTATTTTATTTTATAGTGTTGCAATAATCATTAAATTATATTAGCCTAACACTAATAGAAGCAGAGTTTTTCTGAAATATCCATTTTCCAATGTGACCCTGGGAACCTCTATTCCCTCCTCTCCTACTCATGTCTCTTCTCCCCCCACCCCCCCTTCTTGTGATCTTAGGCAGCTTTAGTTTGTAGTATACCTAAAGTGTCCTCTGCTGGTATGTCTGAAGAATTGCACAGGCAATTCAGATAACTGCTGCTTTTTGCAAACAGTTATTTCTCCTTTGTTAATTGAATGTTGTATAAAGAAGACAAGGCATTTTTATACAATTCTACCCAAACTACTACCTGATGTTATAATTTCATGCAATGCTTTGAAAATAGGAAAGTGCCTAAAAATCACACCAGAAATTCAGAACTGTTAAAATTCTCTTTTCTTTCACAGGGCAAAGCATATTAGGCAGTGTGATGGTTATTCAGTGCAACTAAGCTTGTGTGCTTGGATTAGCTTCAATCAGAATCAGCCCTGTGGTCCTTCAGTATTGTGGTGTGATGACTCAGCACTTTGTATGAGTTTAGCTCTCTTTGCTGCCAAACACTGAGTTGCCCTCTTTGGGTGTTACCCCTTGCATGATTAACACCCACCCTCACTGCTGTATATTAATGGCTCCAGGTCTATCCCAGTGTATGTGTTGCGGCAGAGGCCAGGGAGCCCTGCTCTACGTGTATGGACTGCCCCTATACTGTAAAAGCTTGATCTGAAATGCTTCAGCATCAGAGGCAGAGTCTATGTATGCAGAGCAGGTTCCTTTCTTCAAACCTCTCCTCCATTCCACAGGAGGAGTGTGGGCAGCTGGAACCAGTGGGTATATCTCTAGCCTTGCAGACAAGCAAAGGGAAAACATGGCATTCCTAAAAAGGAATATCTTTGTCAAGGATATCTTTGTCAAGAGATGCATTCCCAGGCATTCCTGCTCTTCAGGTGGTCCTCCATCACTGACCATAAAAAAGGCATCCTAATGTGGCAAAGACGCATTTGGCCCTTAGCCCCTTTGATGTCTTTGGGTGTGGATGTGAGATGCATTTGAGTCCTCAAAGACCAGGAAATTATTACTTATTAGTATTACATGGTATTTATATCCATCCTTATTTTTCCTTGCAAGGAACCCAAGGCAGCTCACATAGTCTTTCACTCCATTTTACCCTCACAACTACCCTGGGAGGTAGGTTAGACTGAGAACCTGCAACTGGTCCAAAAGTCACCCAGGGAACTTTAGTGACTGGGAACTGGAACATGGTTCTCCGGGTCTCCAGTCCAACACTCTGACCACCACACTGGGTTGATTAGCATGCACAGAGATAATCCAAGTGCATTAGTCAAAATAACAATAATAGAAATGTGCCCACTGAGAAAAATGGATCTGGGGAAAGTTATCCAGGGATGAGTCATTCTTTTCCCCTGAACTAGCACCATACAGAAGTTGTTGTTAGGCAGTGTAACTGTGAGATGTATTCAGAAAAGAAATATGGGGAACTCTGAATAAAAAGAGCGGGACTCTAGAACAGAAAGAAGCATAACTTTTTGCATTAGACCTCTACATATGAAATGGTTTTACAGGTTTTTTATGGCAAAATGAAAAAGAACAATATCCATAATGAGGATGAAGAGTGATGAAAAAGTTGTGATTTCCAGAAAGTGTAAGGACATTCCTAACTGAAATTGTATCTTCTATTTTATTGAGGGAATTTTGCTTAGCCAGAATGTGTGATCTTCCCACCTCTTTCTTTCTTTTGCTTTGTTATACATGCCCATTTACCTGCACATATATAATTATTACCTGTAATTCAGTAGTTATTATGTATGCTAGAAAAATGCTATTAAAAAGACATGAATCCAATATGCCAGAATAAACACTGATATCCTTTATGTTTTATGCAGAAGTTCCAGTTGAGGCCACCCCAGTAACAGTTTTTTACAATGGTTGCATGGAAGTGAAAATCAATGATAGGCAGCTGGATCTGGATGAAGCAATCTACAAAAAGAATGACATTAGATCACATTCATGCCCGTTGCTTATAGAGGAAATGCCACGGCCTCAAGCCATTTCTCACCCTTCCCTTCATTAATCTCATATGAAAGTCCAGATTGTTTGCACAAGATGGGTAAAGACAAACTGAACTGTAAAGGTCTGATTTTCTAATGATCTGTTTTGAGAACAAATAATTTGCATCCTTTTCCAATATAAAGGGACCGTATCAAAATTAATATTCTGTCAAAATAGTGTCATTTATAACATTTCAAGATTTTTAGTTGCATAATTTACTTGTCAACATTTATGCAGTTCATATTTTGTATTTTACTTACTTTGGAGAATAAAACAAAAAACCATATGTCTGCACACAGCTTGACATCTTGATTCTAATGTATTGTGGCAGCAAGAAAAGGCACTGAATAGATATTTCATTTTTCTAACAAACAATATTCCACCAATATCCTATGAACTCTTATATAAGCAATCATTCACAGAAAATCTTGCAACAATGTTTCAAGAAGTGATGGTCACAGCTAGATAATGGTAACACAAACATTTAGGAACAAAGCACCAGTGAGACAATAAACTGTATTATTTTTTAACTGTTTTTTTCACAAAGAAAACTTATTAGTAGCAGCAGCCACAGTATACTTTCTGATCTCCAGTACATTCAAAAATAAAGTAGGCCAATATTTTATGTATATAACCTGCTGAATCAAGCAGATCACCTTCTATTGCATATTTCACAATGATACACATACAGTAAAATATGATGAAAGGATTGTATCTGACTTGACGGGCTGATTGTAAGTCTATATATTTGTTATGCACTCTCCACAAAGGATCCCTACATTATACTAGGCAGAATTATGTGTTTGTGAATTAGCATGGTATCATTCATTATTGCAGACCACAAATATGGTCTCTGTGGCATCCCATTCATATTTCCTCACAACATAAAGTACATTTCTTTTGATTAAATGAGTTTGTTCAACCCATTCGTAAAGATTTCGTTGTGGCTTGGAACCAATGCTTTGTTTTCAGACATTAATAAAGTATAGCTTGAAAAGAACTTGAAAACTATAAGATGATACTGCCACTTAAAGAAATGTGGTTTCCAGTAGAATTCAATGTCATTCTTTACTATGTAATTAAATTGATCTGAGGCACACTTAAGTAGCACTAGAGAACTCAACAGATTTCCAGATCAATTGTTCTGACACAGAACTTCATATTTCTGATGCTTCAAATAGCACTTGCTGATATGGAAACATGGCCAGGACCTCTGCTTTAACCAAAACCTTGTTTTGACACCTGATACTACCAACACATGATTAGATGCAAGTTTCAACTTCCAAGTGAGGATGTCTGAGGTCATGCTACTAAATATAAGTTAAACCTCAAGCCAGCTAACATCTTGAACCTAAAGCACAGGCAAGTAGACATTAATGGGACTTAAGTCTTTCATAACAGTGTGATTCTGAGGAGCCAAATAAGCTTCTTCTACCTTACTCAAGTAACAGCATGAATAAGATGGTAGGCTTGTGTAAGAAGCATGTGAACATACATGGTTTTGATGCATTTTTCTGTGTAAGAGCTTGCCATGCTAGAATATTTAGGGGTGCAATCCTCTGCAAGTTTAGACAAGGGAAAAAACAACACCCAGCACAGTAGGGTGGGGTGTGCTGAGAGTTGTATGCCTTTTTTCTGCCTAAATTTGGACAGAATTCCACAAGAAATGATGTGACTGTTTGGGAAATGATGCCAAAGGAGCACAGAACAGTTCTAGTTGACTGGATACATAGCTAGCTGTATGCATCTGTTCACTGTTCCTTACTACCACTGTTTCACAGAGGTGTTATCTGTCTTAGCATATAATAAGGATGCAGAGTGTTAATGTGTGCCATGAGCAGATTAGATTTTGTTCCTTTTCATTTTTAAAGCACTCCTGTCTAAGAAAGCAAAGTGTAGCGAGGAATACTTAAATAGAAACATACTAAATGACATCTACCAAACTTCCTCCTCCTTTAAGCAGTCATATTCATAATAGTAACAGTTAGACGATGCATTGAACAGTTTAGATTTTTTCTGAATAAAGTTGATATAAGCAGATGTATTTTCAAGAAATTTACCAAATATTTTTGAGTTCTATTTTGTGTCTTGTATGAATATTGCAATGGGTTGAGGTTCTAATGTACAATACTGGGTTGGATTTTACAAAGTGTAAATGCTGCTCTGTTTAACAAAATAAAGGAGATCTACCATTCTCTTTCCACTTGTGTATATTGTTAACAATAAAATGTAGGCCATCTGAATATATGGCTCTTTACAAAGAAAGAACTGGTCCTGGGTTAGGGTGTAGTTGCATTTGAGAAACAAAGAGTGTGCTTGCTGTGCAATACCATATCTTCCATTTTCCATTTAATATGTTCCAATCTGATTTTTACTATGATTTACCACAATGTTGTGAAACAACAGCATGGAGATGCCTCTTCTTTCTGTTTATATCTGAGTTGCTTTAGACTCAGGTGCCTAAACCCAGGTGCCTAAAAACCCAGCCATAGAAGACAAGATCTACTAACTCAAAATATCCAATCACTAATAGAGTTTGCTCCCTCACCCCTTTAAATTCATCTCTGAAGTCAGTGTCTATTGAGATAGATGGCTTGGTCGAGCATCCTTTCTGGGCCAAGCACCCTTTCTTGATTTCCAGGCCTCAGTCTATTACAGTGAGCAAGGATGGCCTGAAAAAGCATGCTATCCGAAGCAAAACCAAGGTGGTGGTACAAAAGCTGACTGACCATATTGGCACTTAAATCTTACATCATCTCTGGCAATCTGAGAACAGCAGGCTAGCTTATGGGGTCCACAGACTCTTACCCACTCCATGTGTTCCAGCTTCTCCTCTTTGCAGGAACTGTTTTGCTCTGCCTAATGATTGGGGCAGCCCTAATATGCCAAGTTCCTTTTAGGTAAAACCATTTGCCCTACATGAAGGATAAGATGTCTTCTCTCACACAGTGAAGCTGTTACCGATGAGCCCATACTCATTTGCTTTAAATTCCTAAAGCCCAAATCAAACCTTGCTTAGTCAGAAGTAACTCTAAGGGCATTTTCTGCACTGGCCTCTGGAAAAAGGTGCCTTTGAGATGTTTTCCAGGCCACAGCATTGCAGGCTTTTAAGAAGTTCCTGAAAATTCAGTGCTTTACTCTGGGCTTCTCTTGATTATGCTTTACTGGATAGGGTTGCAGGTACAGTTGTACGTTCCAAGTTGTATTTGTTGTTCATTACAGAATATCTGCTACTGTTGCTGTTTGAACTACTGCATCAGTTTTTATCAAATGTCACTATTGGACATCACCTTGGGAGGCTTCCTCCCCTGAAAGGCAGCTAACAAACATGTTAATATGCAAGGTAAAACAAAAAATGAGACTTAAACATACTTAACATTCAGCCTTGGTTATACAAATTCCTTGTTTTTCTTGGTTATTTGAATCATGTTCTGACTATGGGCAAATGCATCAGGCTGCTTGGACCAGCAAAACTGTATTTTATAGCAGCAACAGTTAAATTATATCCTTTATATGGATTAACAAACTCATTCCCTTAGTTGCAATCTTATGTAGCCAAAACAGCACCATTCACAGATGAGAGGATGGTATATGTGGGCTTGGTAGAATACCAAGACTTGCAGAGATACAAAAAGTAGGTGTGGCAGAACCCAAAACAGCTCAATGAGGGCTTTGGCTATATGGCCACACAATGCTGAGTGTCTGTTGAGGGTCAGAAATGCAACTTCATGTGGACATGGAATTGGAATGTCTGGGGAAGCATGTGGCCGGATGGATGAAACTTAAACAGACGTGTTCCATGCTAGGGATGTGGATAATTTAGTGTGGTTGCTTTTGTATAAGAACTTATCATTTTTAGCAAATCCATGACCTAGATGAGAAGAAGCTGAGGCATGGATGTCAGATAAATCCACAATGAATTCAAAGTGAAGATTTCTATGACTCCAGCATGCAGATTCCTAGTGTGTAGGCCTTCACAGAGTCAAGTGGATTCTGTGGACTCACACCTACTTCTCAGTGGGGAATCTGGGCTAATTCTCTTTAATGTACAGTACAAGTGCACATTAGGAGAAACGTGCAGGTTAATATTCAATATTGTGCATTAGTGCAAAAGCAAATTGGTATAAGTAGAATACAATTCTGGTTTTAAAAAATCATATTTACTCATGTGTAGATAACAAAATATATAACACCTAACAATCCATGAAACACAGAATAGATCTATTAAAATCTGTGCACCCTTACCTGAGAGTAGAATGACTCACCATGGGCAAAAGTGAAACTGTCAGATTTGTCCAGCCAGGCAAAGGGTATTTGAATGCTTTGCTATTAGAATTCTGGATTGGAATTCCTGAATGAAACTGTCTGAATTTGAAGTGCCACCTCTTATTCTCTGAAGGGCTTTTCACTTGTAACAGCTACACAGCTTTGCTACTTCACAGTCATTTTGCAGTCTTCATTTCTGTATCCTCTCTGCATATGGGCAGCGTTGGGCTCCCAGTATTCTGAGATTGATGGTGTTCCTCCAACAGCAGTAAGAGAAGTGTGGTGCATAGTATCACATCAATTATAGTCTGATTCATTTTTGCCAAAAAAATTAACATCATGGGAAAACACAGATTTTAAAATTGGTAAGAAAACATTTGTTTGGCGGACTTGGATGAATAGGTCAGTTTTTACTTAGGATCAGCTAGTGAGTTCCAGTGATAATTTTTTGCCACTCTTTATTTTAAGTGCTAAATACAATTTGTCAGCTGTAGTGCAATGGCAATACGTGCAGTTGAAATATCTACTTGAATCTGTGTTTGTCCCTGATACTTTTACAGCTTCAGAATTCACTCTGGTATTGGAAGTACTGATATTGGAAGTAGTGATTGAGACTGAAAAAGGTATCATACCTTGACATGAAGGGTCTTAAACAAAAATGGAATTATGAACTGAATTGTTCTATCTTGCCCAGTCAATGGATTGCTGCAATGGAATTCATCTCAGAAGGGTGAACAGATCTTAGGTTATGCATAATTCAGATAAAACTTATGTTTGGGTATATTGGACACCGCAATACCTTTTTTAAAAGGTTTGTCTACTGGTCAACTGTTGGAGGTGTAACATAGCTAATGCTTCTCTTACCTAAATGTTTTGGCCATGCCCAATGGCCACCTGCTTTGGTTAGAAGTAATAACATGAATAAACCTTGTGACAAAAAGCTCTGCAATGTTTTTGATGCTCATGTTCTCCTCAACTAACTACCCGCTTCCTGGAATGCAAAGTATAATGTAACTGGATCCTCTGTATGCCTTTTACAACTAGTATTACAACACTGGAAGGACAAATGACCACCCTGGATAACACAATGGACTAAGGACTTAATGATGCTTTCAGTTTTCAACAGTGGTGCTTAGGCGTAATCTGCAAATGGACAAATATATGGATTTTTTGTTGAAGACTGTGCATAATTATTGCTTAAAAAGTACTATTATTATCATGTATAAATATATATTGGTGTACACACTGCATATGTCTCTATTGCAACTGATATACTCAAAAGAAAACTATAATCCTCTGTTTTATTTTTTGTGGCTGAGTTTTTGTTTTTGATCTGATATTCTGAAATTTGCAATAAAAAGTAATGAACAGAAAATAACAGATAGATAACAGGTAATGCAATATGAAGATCTCCATGCTGGAAATAGTTGTGCTTGCTGAATTTGTTCAGCCAGTGCAGATGGCTTTTAGTTTGGTTTGTTTGGCTGCTCTTATAAAAACTTAACATCATTCTCAAAATTTCTTCATAAATGAGGACTTTATGTAATAGTTGAACACTGGGGAAAGCAAAACCTCTGGCTTCATATATCCCTACCAGCACTGTAGCATTCTGTTACAGATCCTGCTTGTATTCCTACATTGTGAAGCATCACACACAGAAGCATAAGCCAGAAATGTCTCAAAGATTCTTCTAGGAGACTAAAGTCATTTTTAACAAGCATAATTCTTATTTTATTTTTTTATTTATTTAAAACATTTCTATGCTGCCCCCGTCGCAACAAAGCCTCGGGGCAGCTCACAACAAAAACAAGGACAAGGAAAGCTTTTACCCTAGGTATCTCTCTCTGTCTCTCTGCATTGTACTTCTTCATATGTAAAACAGGGCGGACACCCTAGCGAATTCAAGCTGACAAGATCCATTGAGAGTTTTAATCAGGGAAGACAAAAGAAACAGGTGATTCTGTCATTTGTCTACAGCCTGAAATAGAGATGTCACTTTTGACAGGATAGCATGTGTTAGCTCATACTGTCTGCTCAGATTCTAGCTTGAATATCACCAGGGGGTCTTCTTAATAGTTCAGCTATGAACACTTTACAATACTCGACTGAGGAATATAAACTGAAAGCCATGCAGTTTAGAGAGGAAGAGAAGAACAGCTGCTAAATAACTAAGTTTTAACATCTTACTTGAATTGTGAAACAGGCTATTTTGAGTATACAGTTGGATATTTTATTTATTTATTTATTTATTTATTTATTTATTTATTATGGGGTGTTCCATCTTTGTAATGAAGTCATTTCTACAGGATTATGTATGAAGATTAGACAAATGAAACTGTTCTAACTCTTGCCATGGTGCATGTGTGGGGAAATCATATATTTCCCCACACATATAGCCCAGCTATATATGTTGCTGGGCTATGGCACCTATCATCCCTCACCATTATCCATACTGGGTGAGGATGTTGGGAGCTGGAGTTCAACAACCTCTGGAAGGCCATAGGTTTGAACCCCTGCCACAGTGACTATGATTTGTAGCCATGACTTGCTTAGAGCCTAAGACAGCTTAGTTCTGGACTGGTTGGAATGCTAATCTAATTTCCTTGTGGATTTGTTCCAGTTAAGCACATGCAAACAAACAAACAAACACACACACAAACAAACAAACAAATGGAATGCTCTATTTAGATTTTGTGAAAGTCATCATATATCCATCAACACAGGAAAAATGTCACATTGACCTCAGTTGTGAGAGTTACAATGCATTTATCTCCAGTCCAAGGTGGTGCAAACTAAGATATAGACTTCTGTTGCAAGGAGCCCTTTCTAGCTGTGGAGTCCTCCTGCTGCAGAGGTAATTCCTACACATGTGAAGAAGCTGAAATTATGTGATTTTGTGGTTTCACCTAAACACATACTCCACAGTTCCCC